CATCCAGCCTCCCCCTCCCGCCCCTCCTGTCGCACCCAGGTCCGCAGGAGCCAGCACTGGAGCAAGTCCCAGGGGAGGGGAGGACATGCCCACCCTGTGCCCTTGCTTCAAGCTGCGGGGCACATCCTGGTCTCGGGGCACACGGTGCACTCAGTCCTGACTGCAAGGGGAGCTGTCAGAGGGGGTGGGCGTCAGCGGGGGGTGCATCCTGCAGCTCCCCAGCATCTGACACCCAGCCCCAGGCAGGGGCCCAGGCAGACAGACTGACAGACAGGATACGCACACCAGCAGAAACCAGAAGAACGAGCCTCTGAGACTGTGACCAAGCTCCACGTCCCAAACTGACAGGACCCTGTGGGGTGAGGGGTGGAGGAGGTGGGTGCACAGGCTACTGTGAGCACAGTTTAGAGCTTGTTTTGTAAGGAAACCAATGTCCTCCTCTTGCCCCCACCCCCAAGTGTCTCTTGATAAGTCACCCATCAGTGCACCAGGGGATGCTGAGGCGCAGGAAGAACCAGAAAGGGCCAGTATCCAGTGTGGGTCACGCAGCGAGCAGTGCGGGCTCCAGAACCTTTCCCACAAAGGCCATGTACCTGGTGCAGCCTCTCTCCACTGAGGCCAAATACAAAGTCCTGAAGTTTGCGCGGTGCACTCAGTGCCTTAGAAGCCTGAGCTGAGTTTCTAAAACTGAACCTAAAACTGCACGCAGAGTGTTGGTTCCCAATCTCTAACAGCCTCCAAAGTTGGAACCCAGGCCACTGTCTTTGCTGCCTTACAGCACTGACACTTAGGAACAGAGGGCCGTGTGTAGCGGGAGGCAGGACATGGACATTCCCATGGGCCCTGTATATCAGCAGGTGAGGCGCACCGGGAAGGCCACCCAGTCCTCCTTGGTGGAACGCCGCCACTGAGATCGCGGGCAACAGACGCCTCTGTAGTGAGTAGCGGGCCTGGGCGCGGGCGGGCCTTCCCAGGGGCGCACTGAGAGGCACAGAGCTTCAAGACCTCCCGCAGCAGAGAACTGAACGTCCGGATCTTCGCTTTGCTGTATCGCATTCACTACTCAAACCATGTATGTTATCAGAATCGCTATATTTAATTACAAAAGTGTGCAAAACAGAACAAACCTAAATGACCAAAATAAGTTAACAAACAAGATAATCATCATTTTGACATAAAACACAGAGCTCAGAGAGCCACTTCATCCATGTGAACACAGGGATGGAAACTCCTCCACAGCTGACCCGGAATCCAACACTGGGGTTTCCCGCAGGAACGGCAGGGCCACCCAGAGGGCACCAGGCCAGGGTGAGGTGCTGGGGTGGAGGCCTGAGGACAGAGCCCGAGGGTCAGGCCAGCCAGCATCAGCGTCCCAAGAATGACCCTGAAAGGACCGCCATCCAACAGTAAGAAAAGGGGGTGCCCTGCACCTGGGCTTCCCCTGATGTGAAAACCAAACCCGGACCCCAGGGGGTGTCAGTCTGTCAGTCTGTCCAAATCAAACAGGAGGTGGCTGCCCAGGGCCTAGTCGTGTGCCTTTGTGACCAAAAAAATCCCCAAGACACAAAAACAAAACAAAACCCGCCCAAAACAGAAGGAAATAAAACCTCCTTTTCCTTGGGAAAAAAACATAAGCAGCGCGCCCTGGACGGAAAGGGCCTGGCTCGTGGCAGGAGGCACTTCTGAGACCTGTGGGCGGCCTCGGCCCAGCTCACGGGAACCGCCGGCCGAGGAACGCGTGGATTGTTTAGTGCACAGAATCTCAATCAAAGTGGTACAAACTGCTTCTTTGAAAAAAGATGTTTATTAAACAATTTTAATTGTCATAAAATGACTAAAATGGGTTTTAAAAATTAAGGCTCTTCTCTTTCTGTGGATTGCCAGACAATGTAAAAATAACATCAATCGACCCTGCTCAACGCTGTTCCTAATGGTAGATTCCATAGACTCCTAAACATTATGATTAAGATAAAAAACTGGACTATAAAGGACAATCAGTGGCCGCCGTACTGATGCGCTCTGATCAGGTGTACAACAGTCTAACTGAGTAGTTAAGCAAAAATATTCCAGTTGAAGCAGAAATTTTAATTTTAGCTTTTAAGTCATTGTTCCACACTGTCATGATTCTCCTAAAATCGAAATAGTCTAAGACAGGAACGCTAACCTCGGGACTCTATATACTCCCAGGAGGGTGACTGACTTGGCTGGCAATTAGTTTGATTATATTTTTTAACGTTCTAAGGTGAATTATCAAATGATTCAGAATTACATGGCATGCAGTATCCAAAAGTATGGCTCTGATGCATTTAGATTTACATTAAGAAGTGTCATTCATTCATTGTACACCCACCCCTCCCGCGAGGAAAATCACTACCTACGCAAGTTCTCGGTCCGGTGCAGCGTTAAGGATTCAAACTTACCACTTTCCCAGGCCTCCCCCATGTGCAAACAAACCCCTCCTGACAAGCCGTGACCACACAGTCTTCAAGGAATATCAACACAGTCAGCCTTTCGTGCGCTATCTTTTTACAGATGAGCGGCTCTAGCAAGGGCACGTCTTCCATGCGCGGACAGAGGGCTGTGCCCAGAGTTTTGGCTGGGTCCGTTTTGGTTCTGGTGACTAGGTTCAGTTTGTCGCTGCTCTTGCTGGAAATGTGCCCCATGCTGTGGTTCCGCTTGTGATCTTTCTCGTGGTGCCGGTCCTTCCGGTCGTGCAGGGAGAGTGTGGCGAACTTGCTGACCCCAGAGGCAACGGCGCCATCGGCGACGCTGCTCTTGCTGCCGGCACTGGAGACGGTGGAATGCGGGAGGCTGTTGGACCGCGGCAAAGGGGGCGGCGCAGAGCTGCCGGGCGTCGTGACGCTGTTCCCGGTGTTCCCCGTGGGAGGGCTCGTGGCATTCATGACATTGGTGTGTGTCCGCGCCCGCGAGAGGGGCTGGTGAGGGAAGAGAATGTCCTCCGTGAGGTCCCACAGGCAGAGCTGCGTGTCCTGGCCCACAGAGCCAAACCGGTACGTGACGCTGACGGGGCGGCTCTCCGTGGAGTTCCGTTTGGACAGCCTGGACTGGGTGCTGTTTGCTCGGTCTCTGCCAAAATGGAGCAGGTCCTGGAAGTCCTCGTCACTGCCACTGAACTCCATGGGGTCGCTCTCCTCCACACTCGTGGTGTAGGGATCGAACGCCACCACACTGACCCAGGACTTGTGCCCGTGGCCGCGCGCTATCACTCGGCCATCTACAAAAGACCAGACGGTCACCAGGTCGTCCTCGCCCCCCGTCACAATGTACTTGCCGTCGGGGCTCCAGCACACGCACAGCAAGCCTCCAAAGTAGCTTTTCATGGTGCCGTGCAGCTCCACAGAGTCAAAGCTGAACACCCGCAGAAACCCGTCCTGGCTCACGCACGCCAAGAACTTGCCATCTGGGGAGAAAGCAAACTCGTTGAGGGCCCCCTCGCCCACCGTCCACTTAAGGAGAGGGTTCCTCGTGGATTTGCTCTTGCAAGTGTGCACGGCGAAGCTCTCGCCCTGCTTCAGGAGCTGGTAGTGGGGGGCTGTGGTGCCACAAGTGTGCTCCACATTATACAGGTACATGTTCCCACTCGAATGGGCTACTAGGAAAAGGCTTTCCGAACCGGGAACCCATTTGACACAGGTTACTCGTGACTTGTCTATTAGTCTCTGTGAAGACAAAGGAGAACACGTTATCACAATGGGAAGCTTAACGGGCTCATTCCAGCAAGAAAGCTGTCTGCTGCTTGGTGACAAGGGACGAGCTGCCCGGGCACACCATACTCCCCCGTGGCAGACCAGCCAGCGAAGGGCATCCTGGTGCTCGTGCTATGACTCTAGAACTGAGCTCGGGTGTGAGGCCCCTGGCCTTCCCGGAGGGAGATGGTCGTTCAGCGGGTACTGTGCCAGGCCTGGGACACTGGAGAGGGGCAGCCTACTGCACTGTCATCTCTCCCTCGAAGAGAGTCTGGGTCTACGAGTCACTGCACCTACACAGTGTCCTCCGTGAGCCTCAGTCGTGTGGACTACACCTGTCCCTGCTTGCGCTGCTCCCAGGTGGGGAGGCCCCTGCCAGCAGCACACAGGACTTCAACACACACACCGGCTCCACCGTGCCCTGAAGTGGAGACTCCCTCCTCGGACCCGCTGTCCTGTGGGTCCCCTGACAGGCAATCCTCCCGCGTCTCCTCAGGAACAAGGCAGTGTGTAAAGAGACAGACGGGTGATTATTCAGAGCATGGCTCGATCACTGCCACTCTGCTCTGTGCTAACTACAGGTCCACTGACCAACTAGCTCTTTAACAGGCACAAGTTAGGAGAGTCTTGCCTGTCAAACCAAAAGAACAAAAGGCCAGAAGTTAAATCCACCCAAAGGCACAGCACCTTCCACAGGATAGCCCTGTCCCAACTCACATCAGCAGAGATCCCCCAGAAGCCCCCAGCTCTTCTCATGACACTCCCATTGCCAAGCACCCTTCACTGCCACCCCCAGCAACCGGCACCTTTGCCTCACTGGCGGGGAACCCTGAACCCCACCAAGGGCAGGATACCTTCTCCCCCACCAGCTCTGCGCCCTGTCTGCTGTGAGCTGCATTTTTACAGAACATGAAAAACCTGTTTTTGCCCCAAGAGATGAATGAACCACACGAGTTGTTATGAAAAGTTAGACCCGGAAGATACAAGACTAACAAACCCTGAACTGGGGAGGAGCGGGAGGCCTTGCCCTGCCAGCAGCAGGCCCAGGGCTCGGGGGCAGTGGCTGGGCCAAGGTCACTCCACAGTGCCACAGCCACAGGATCCATAGGGCGGCTCACTGGCCCCTTAAATTAACAGAGACGAGGCAAGTGGCCTGGGGAACACAACCCACATTTTCACCCCTGCCTCTCCTGCCTGCCAGGGGACTGACCACCAGGCGCTGACCTACACGAATGCCAAAGCCTGAGAGCTTAGCGCTGCTCCGGCAGGGCTCCTGCGAGCCTGTCACCATTTCTCCCACACGAGGTCACAGACAATTTGCAAGGCCAGGCCAGACCATGCTCTCCCACCAGGCCCAGGCTGCCCCAGCATTCCTGACTCCACAAAGCTGACTGGCCCGCTGGCCCAGTGTCTAAGGGTCGCCACGCTCACTCCCCAAGTCACTACAGTCAGGTCAATTTTCCGGAGATCAATCCACCGCCCCTCCACCACATGTGCAACATTTTAAGGACAGACATTAAAAACTTCTGCCCTGGCTGGTCTGGCTCAGTGGTTGGAGCATTGGCCCGCAGACTGAAGGGTCCCAGGTTCGATTCCAGCCAAGAGCATGTACCTCGGTTACAGGCTTGATATCCACGTGTGGGACGTAACCAGTTGATTTGTCTCTCTCACATCAATGTTTCTCTCTCTCCCTCCTTCCCTTCTACTCTCTCTAAAAATGAATGGAGAAAATGTCCTCAGGTGAGACGGACTAAACAAAGAAACACTTCTAGGACTATGGTTAGGAGGTTTTATTTTTGGCTTAAAGAAACACACAGTTCTATGAGAACTGGAACCTGTAACACTGTCAAGTAAGAACAGCGTACTAGGTAAGGTGTGGATGGATGACAAAGGGCAGTGAAGGCCACATCCCACTGTGTCTACTGTACGTGGACACGTGGCTGTGCCTCTGGGACACAAACCTAAGCTCATATTCCGTGTCCTGCAGCACCTGTGGACACACTCCAGCACCTGTACATCAGACACTTCAGTTTAAGCAGCTGCAAACCCAAAATATAGAAGGACCACGGGCCCAGCTCTACGTGGAAAGGGTTTCCCTGCCTGTTGTGCTCAAGCACAGGGACACGTACGCGTCCCCTGGGGGATCCCGGGTCTTATGCACCTTGGGCGTGTGGCAGCCACCTCAGGATGGCAACAGTAACATACAACTTGACCTACCCTGTGCACCAGGCCCGGGCACGAGCTCTGCTCACGTTCTTGAATCCTTACACAGCCCTGCAAGCCTAGCTTTCATTTTTTGAACAGGTAACTTGAAATTCATATAAAGTGTACAGGAGAAGCCTCCCTCACACCAGCCTGCACTGTTAGCAGCTTTCTGCTTCTCTGTCCCACATCCTCGTGCGTGGACAAGGACATGAACACGCCCGCCTCGTTCACACGCGAGAGCGCACACCAGGCAGGGTCTGCACCCCTGCCTTCCTGTCCAGGGACGTCTGTGCATCGGCACTGGCACAAAGAGCTTCCCGGGAGTTCCTTTCTCACGCTGCAGAGTACGCGATTATACGAATATGCTTTAGTTTTAAGAGTCCCCAGCGGACAGGCATTTATGTAGCAATAAATACCCTTGTACACAAGGCAGTTTCCACAAGTACGAATACGCCTGCAGGGTAAAGTCGCAGTGGAACGGCTGGGTCAGAAGGTATACGTGTTTCTAATTTTTATAGATATTGGCAAATTACCTCCCATGGAGAACACGTCTACTCCCATCAGCAGTGTAAGCAGGAGCATCGGTTTCCCCACAGGAAGATGGGTATCACTGCCTGTTACCCACCAGGAAGCAGGTTCAGAGAGGCCAGGAAACGCCCAGAGGACCATTCGCTCACTCACTCATGCACAGCCAGCCACCCATGTCCAAGGATTCAACAGACTGCAGATTGAAAATAACTGAAAGAAAAGTCCCATTGCTGCCGACAGCGGGCACTGCGTTAGGCCTGCGTGGCTGCCAGCTGCGTCTGCATCGAACACCGTACAGGCTTTGTTCTTGCTGTCCTTCACCTGCGCAATCCAGTGCAACAAGAACGCACACAGCCTTCACACTGTCAGGCGCTCTGAGCAACCCAGAGGGGATGCGGAGTCTAGGGGAGGGTGTGTGGGTCACATGCCACCACTTCCCCACTTTATGTGAGGGGCTGGAGCACCCACAGACACTGGTATCCGAGGGGGGTCCTGGAACCAAGCCCCGCAGATACCAAGGGATGCCCATTTCCATGTATTCATTCCCTCGTTCTTTACTGAGTGCACGCCACACACCAGGCACCGACACAGCAGATTAGACAGAGGCCCCTTCCTGCGTGGGATTACCTTCCAGGGGGAGAGAGAGTGACACTTACAAGACCTGATGGTAATGAGTGCTGTGGAGAGCAAGCCCCAGGACGGATGGACAGGGACGGACGGAGACGGAGACACACACACACACACACACCCTGAGGGACCG